TTTGACCATTCGTCGTTTTCCCTTACGACGGCAGAAATATAGCACTAGACAAGTCTGGTAGTTTCCAGTTTGTTTGTTTTTTGTAGGTTTTTTATTTGTATGTGTGTGTGTATGTGTGTGTGTTTGGGGGGAGGGGGTAAGTGTTTTACATTTTCAGATGGTGGGAAATCTTGAATTTTGTCCGGGTGGCAGCTGAAGCCGATTCATATCGATTTTAGAATACCAAGGGATCTTTAACATGTACAACTAGCACACGGCACTTCCGAAACTTTTCACCCTTGTCCGAGAAGGCTAGGTGTAGATCTTTCTTACTAGAAGATCAGGGGTGAGGCTGAAAGACAGTAGTGAGAATGAGCCAAGGATCAACTGTAGAAAGGCTGCAGAAAGAGTCAGGCGCCCAGAGGAGGGGGAAAAGGAGGTGAGGGGGGGGGGCAGAAAGTGGGGATGAAATCAGACGACAGAACATTGCTAGAGATCAAGAAAGGTGGTGAAAGAAGACAATTTTATAGAAGAAATGTTTCCGTTACTACCAGGATTTGAACTCGGGACCTTTAAATGAGAGGCGAACACCCCAACTTCTAGATAGGAGTAGGCGTCGGCCGCCACCTAGGCAAAATTCAGATTTTCATACCAACTGAAATATACCGCGTGCTCATATGACTTTATGCAGTTGTAGGCGCCGTAAAACACAGGAGATTACTAGTGAGAGATATTTTATTCGTCAGCTGGCCCCTCTTCGCATCATATTATTGACGCAAGGTCGGTGACGCAGTGCCTCAAAACTATGTCACGCCGTACATTTCATAGTCTGTTCCTCTCAAAGTCACTTCCCCTTGTTATTTCCTATATAGTTAATACCGGGGACAGAGGGAGGAGCGAGGCGTCATCTCAGTCAATACGTCGGAAGTAGTGGTATGTGGTGAAGTTGGTCAATAAATGTGCGCATAATTAATCAATTCATCAAATTTATGCTCCAGTGAAGGAAGAGGAAGCAGAGTTTTTTAAAGTTTAAGTAAGAGTTTTACGGCACTTGTTGCGTTGCAACAATAAGGTCATATAAGTGATGAAGAATAGATGAGTTACAAGAGAGTTACATCTATTTAAAAAGGAGGAGGAGGAATGATAGGGATCATAGGTGCTTGATAGGAAAGAAGGAGTAAATCACACCAGAGCACCCGCCAACAGCACAAGAACAAGAACAAGAACAAGAACAAGAACAAGAAGAAAATGACGAAGAAAAAGTTGTAGAAGAAGAAGAATAGAAAAGATTTTCTCACATTGAGCGCACTAATGCAATGAGATGCATCCAGGAATAAGAAGAGGGGACGTGACATAGACAGGCCAATAATTATACCGACCGAGAGGGAACATACAGTAAGGTATGTTTTGAATTTTTAATCCAAATATTGACTAGAATTACCAGAATGTTCTGACTCCATCTTTCATGTGTGGATGCGGGTTTGACGTGACGGTAAAGAAAGAGAAATGGTGTTTAAAACCCATTCAGACAATTAATTTTCTACGAAAACAATACGGCGATTCCTGGGTTGTAAGGAACAGACTATTAGTTGTACAGTGTAAAACTTTCACCGGATGCCTGACCCCAATCACGCCGAAATCGAGGAGTGATGCGTCTCTACTTTTTCGTCTCCGAAAACACTAACCCAAAAAATATAAACAATTTTTTAAAATAGCCATTTCAACGCCATCACGTTGTTTTTCGAAAAGAGATTTCGTGTCAAACTGAGTTGTATCGTTGAAATTTCCATAATTTCATTACCTTTCAACACGTGTTCAACTGTGCCCGTAATCCAACCGCGTGACTACTGTTCGGTCTTTTGTTACCAAACCAGAAACCGCCGTAGGAGCGGGGGCGGTAGGTTGACCCGTGGTCAGCGTCTATGAAGATTACGTCACCGGCGTAATGGATGACTGGACACCCAGACGCTACCCCCTTGAGGCTACCGACGATTTTATAATCTGGCCACGAGCCGTGAGAACTACTTGAATTTCTGGAAAGTTCGACGTTTCAACAAAAGAAGATTGACAGCTGAGCGTGGCTCGTTAACCAATCAGAACTTTGCGTTTAATTCCCGCCCAAAAATGACGCTTCGTTTGTCATCATATAAAAACTCTTGCAAAACGTTTGTCTGTACCATTTCTTTCCCCTCGTTTGTCGAGTGTAGAGTGCATTGTATTGCTGTTTTATTGAATCCACGTTGTCATCACTATATTCAGAAAGTACGACAGCTTTTACTGCGATCTTCAGAATCCCCTTCTGGTTCTGGTGATTTTTCATAGACATTCAATCAGTCTTTGGTCACATCCGAGTATTTCTTCATTTCACCATGAGTTCTGTGGAGCAGATTAGTGTCATCCAGCTGCCTAAAGAGGTAGATGTCTTCCACTACAACCGCATGCAGTACTCGTCCGTCCTGCACCAAGGACAACGTAGCAAGATTCTCTTGGCGAGGAGCGAAATCATCCCTGACAAGAAATTCGCTGTCAAGCAGATGCCTCTTCTCTCTGATGAGGATAGAGATCGCTTCAGCCGTGAGATGTGGCTGATGAAACTGGCTTCTGACATACGTGGAGTTGTGACTTTGTTGCCTCGTCCCGTCTTCTGTGGTCCCAACGGCTATCTCATCATGCCGTTCTACGATAAGAGAGACCTGCTCTCGCGGACAGGGAAACTCAGCGACGACAACTGGATGAAAGTGTTTGTCAGGGTGAGTGCATTCATATTATTATTCTTATTCTTATTATGCTTCTTCTTTCCTTCTTCTTTTTTATGTTTGTTACTCTCTTGTAACACCTCTAATCATCTGGCGCTCATATGACATTATGCAGTTGCGAGCGCCGTAAAACCTCTACTGATTAAAAAAAAAATTATATTTGTTACTTCAATGTATATTGTTTCTATATCGTAACTCTTTTTGATTCACTGTTACAATTAAGGCTATGGAGAAACGTGAAAGTGACATTAGTTAATAACTAATGAGTCTCAAATTCT